GAGAAAACTGCAACTTCAGACGCGAAACTACATTTAGGACAGGTGCGAGGATTGGAATGTGAGCTGAATCTATGTTTTTTTAAGGAATTATTGACAACTGAAATTCGTATTTCACTAAATTTAATCAAAAATCCAGACTATCATAATTTAAATTGAGAGTTTTCATCAGAGGCAAATAAGCCTACACTACAGTATATGTTGACAGCCGCCAGGCTGCGTATAAACCCGAATGTATTGTTCCATTCCGGCAGAGTGGAATTATTCTTAAGCCATAGAATATGGAATTAATCATATCCGCGGAAACTTCGAAAGTTAAGGATGATAAGTGAGTTAACAAGACTTTTATATTCGCGCGCCTTATTAAAAGCAATACTGAAGACATTCTGTGGTGCCATTTATGAGTTGTATCAAGTCTTATTCCCGAACAATCCTGTACGAAATATTCAAATCTCCCGCAAATAGCATAACAGGGACTAAGTTGGAATAATATAAACTGCCATAATCTATATATCTGAAAACCTACACCAAGAAACTGATTTAGTTGTAACCTGCCCCCTGTGGAAAATTTGCCACACCTCACTTTATCAAAATTACTATAAAAAACAAACTTGCTCCCTACAGAGCCATATGATTCCGTCACTGACTCCCAAAGATAATCCCTCCAGAGTGTAATTAATGTCATACCAATATTCTTCTCTATCACTAAATTCATAGTCCTAAGAGATATATTATCTGCATAAGGATTAACATATCTATGAATTAAGCTAAAAGATAACTCTCGGCATATTCCGAGGGTATAGAATTTTTTCATTTATTTTTTAAACGTATTAAGAAAGGATTCATTTCCTATTTCATCTCAGCTTCCCATCTTGTTCTGTCATTTTAACTTTAAAACATCAGCAGGAGAGTATATTAACTACAGCCACCCTTATTCTTTAGGATTGATTAACAGGAACAGGGTAATATAACAGAAATCCAGGAACATTTTAACGGCATAGTGAATGATTGGATTTATTCCGATTATTTGTTTATTCCATTCTCTCGTTCGGCTAATATTTAAGCCCCAAGAATCACAAGAAGGAAAATCAACAATTATACGTCGTTTTCTAGTCCAAGAAATAGAAATCTCGTGATACATTTCCTATGATTCCCACCGTATTAGATAATGAAATCCTTATAAAAGGTATAATTAGTTCTTTATCAGAGGATATAATGGTATATCACTCATATTATGACAGCCCCAATCTATGATAACAAGATTAAAAATATTAAAATAAAAACAAGAAAGAGTGCTATAACCCAAAAAACCACAGATTAATGTCTCTACCCCCCCATAAGTATTATATGATATGAATGTACATTAATAATTAGTAAAGTTCTAAAGTTAATAGATAAAACAGAGAAATTGCCTAGTGTTCTATCCTAATCTGGATTACATTTCCGATAGTGCCTAGGATCAAAACAACGAAAACCGGACCCAAGATCATGTAATTAGGTTACTAAAATAATAATTGTGGAATGATTGTGAAATCC